TCGCAGTGATGATTCGAATCCTGCAACGCATGTCTAGATCAGCAAAGTGAGGTGAGGCTAGAAAGGGACAAACTGTTACAGTAACGATTTACGCTCATGATCTTCTTACCTCAACACTCATCAGGCCGTAAGAGCGTGAGGGTCGACACATGCGTTGAATATCAAGGCTTCTATAAAGACCTAGCGCCTCTATGGTTGCACCGGCCTCCCGCGGCAGAAACAAGACCTCGACGCCTTCGAAGTCTGCCTCAGGAGAAACGTGTCAAGGAAGACGCGTTGAGGCAGGTCGTTCAGCTGAGTTATAATTCGGGCAAGCAGAACTACGGCTGCAGCTGCATTGCATCAAATGAGCCTCATAGGCATCAGAAGGACTTTAGAACCCTGCTTGTCCCTACAAAACTGCACCATGTTGTTGGCGGACAGAACCCGCATGGACCCGTCATGCGACCAAGACGGAGCTACCCAGAAACAGTTTGCAGAGCATCGGAACATAACTTACACCTGCCGGATGCCTGGCAGTTGGCAGCGACACTGCTGGCCTGGACCGGCTTCGACCGTGGCAAAATGTTGTGACTGTCGGTCAAACGCAGCGTGATCAGAGCACTTGCAAGCGCAAGTGGAGCGCATTTGCTGGCACTGCGAAGTCTGCAGCCTGAGAAATGAAGCAAAGTTGTGAGCTTCCCGTCATTGCCTTGGCTTCAGCTTTAGCCTTAAAAAGTGAGCTGAAACCATCCCCAACCCGACCCATCCCCTTGAAAATCAAGCCCGGCCATACAGCGCCTCTGCATGAAGTCCAGAATCCTTACAACCCTCACAACCCCACGCATGACCTCTGGCGAGGCCACAGAAAGCTCGGAAGCCAATCATATGACGTGATATGACTTGATGTAATGGACATGCTGTTGCAGCGCAAACTTTCTCATCAATATCTAATATCAGTTCTAATAACTAATATCACAAAATACTCGCATTGATCATACGAGTACCATCTATCTCGCATCATGATGTTTGACAAGATTCTAGCCATTGTAATGTCCCCACAGCAAGGCTCCCAATGATTTCCCGGCCTCAGCTCCATTGGGGAAGGGCCCGCTTGGATGGCCGGACCAGCCAACGACATGGCTTGGAAAGTTGTCCAGGGTAAAGGAGTTTCACGCTCTCATGCACAGGACGAAAGATCAGGTCATTAGTCTCCGGTCGGTGAATGATACGCGGAATCGGAGGGAGCCGCATCCTCCAAACGTATTGTTCAATCGGCAGCCTGACCGAGCAAGGAATAATCGCCTACCTTCCCTCACTCCAAACACTTCAAGTACAGCTTGGGCCTGAACGGCCTCGGCCTGCCAAATTGCACACGTGCAGCCTGGGAGTCGCGAGGCCTTGGGAACCATCAAAGCCAAAACTCACATCCCATATGGCATGTGGTGCTCGCATGCCCCGTCTACACCGACGTGCGCGACACAGAGCCATCGCCATCACTGAACCTCTGTCAAAGCTTTTTCGAGCTGATCGGGGACGGAAGCTCGGAGCCCGCAGGAGCTCGGCCCGTACCAAGACCCGACCTGCCGAGCAGAAGCCGGGGTTGTCGGTTCGAACTCAAGCTGACAGAGTCGGGTTTGGCAGCTGTGGATAAAGTTGAAGGCATCGCCAAACCCTCGGTCGGCACCGGCACCCCGGGCTTTTTGCATGCTTGAAAGGAATCCAACGCAGTCAGAATGATTTTGCCATCTGCAACATGTGAAAAAGCTGGCGGCAATCGAACTTGACGAACAAACCATGCTCAGGAGGCGCGAAGTCTTGCCTGGAACTCCCGGAATGCGGATGGCTACTCCCACTCTCTGCCGGCCGTCGCTTCGACTTGGACTTGCTCGCCATCACGTCCCTCCAGGAAAACAAGGTGCGCGCCCCATCCTCGGACTGCATGTAGGTGGCGTCCACATCGTCGGGGATGTCGGCGTTCTTTATCTTCTCATTCACCTCGTCCTCGTCCATGAGGATCTTCGTCGGGATGATGGCCTTCTTCGGCCACCGTGCCAGGGCGGAGCGCTGCAAGATCCAGAGCTTCCACCCCTCTGTGGTCAGGAGCTGCTCGCGGCCGCTCGGGAGCTTTGCCCTGAAGACATCTATTGGCTGCTCGTGGCCAATGTACACCACCTTGTCGACGGCATGGGCCTGTCCCTATGATTGCACAGCCCAGCACACCGTTGGCCGATCCTTGAGGGTGCAATCATTTGCTGGCACGAGATTCACCACGGCGGTCGTTCGTAGTTGCAGCAGCTTCAATTCCTCCCCTTTCGCGGTGCAGTCAGTCATCCCGCGTCAAAGAGATCCGCTACGTTCGAGCCTCTTCCCATTGCTCGACATCTTTAGCAAAGCCGACGGTGGTACAATGTCACGCCAGGTTCGGCTCTCTTGACCACAAAACATGTATCGAAAGTGATTGAGAGGTGGCCCACGATGCTGGGACATTTACAGCTCGGCATGCTCGGACTTCAGCACGGCTTCTTCCTGACGTCGAAAGGCGGTGTGCGCAACCCCTGACACAAACCCGTCTATTCGGAGAAGCTGGAGACCCTGAATCGGTCAAGCAGGCATGATGAGTTTCCGAAAATAGGGGACCCTAATATAGTACCCTGAATAGTAGGACCCTGATTGTAAGGACCCCAAAATAAGGCACCCAAGAGGGCCTACAGTATCATGTTGTTTCATGGTCCCCGGAGGTGCCGCCACCGTGTCTAATCCGATTTGAAACATCTACAGTCAAACGGTTCATCATTCTTCTCATGCAGTCCTTTCCTATATGCCTTCCACAACCCGTGCCCCAGGAACCCGGCTGGGAGAGTGAGCTATCAAATCTGTCAACCGAGTGTCCGTGAGGTAGTACCGCCACATTGCTCCAGCCCGTCGCAGCCGTGCTCGTGCATGGTGCAGGAAGGTCTCGGTGCAGCTATTGGGTTGAAATTGCCGACACCATGTACATCAACCTCGTGACCCCAGCCACTACCGCCCAGAAGATGCGTTTCTGCTTTGGACTTACTTGTTGGTTTGACTTGCTTAGCTCACAGCTCGAGTCAAGTACGAGGGAAGATGTTCGGCCCGCCTCAAGCTTTTGGATGGTGTCCTTCTCATCCTGAGTATAGGCAGTAGACTGCAGCAGAGAGGTTGCCTCGTTGTCTCTGTCCAAGCTGCTCGACGCAGTGTGACCGCCATCCGCAGATTCGGCTGCAACGAGTTGTCTGACAAAAGCTGCTCCTTGACGGCATGCAACCCCCAAGCACCCCCACCACGTCCCCCATGCTTCGACGACGCCGGTTCCCCGCGCCCCGGCCTTGCTCTTCGCAGACAGGCCAAACCCCGAAGCGACACAATCGAAGTCACAGCCCATCCTTTGCAATTGTCAGTTCGAAGCAACAGCTGCTGCCGGACGATCGGAAGGTGCTGGTGAACTCTTAAGCCCCTCACAATCACAGAAGCCGGGTGCTACAGGAACACCCCCGAACCCTTCACTCCCTCCACAGCTCCCAGGAATCTCAATCCTCGTCCTCCAAGGATCCGCCGGCGAGGCTCTGCCTGGACGACAGGTGGGACTTTCCGAAAATAAGGGGTACCTTATTTGGGGGCCCTTATATTAAGGATCCTATGATTTAGGGTACTATATTGGGGTCCCCTATTTCGGAAACCCCCAGCTTGGCTCAGATGGGTATCGCGCGGCTTCACAGGTCATGACCTGGACATTGACATGATGTGCACAAGTGACAGTGCGAGCGGGGAGTCTGCACGCCTTACTTCTTGAAACCATTAGTAACTAAGTATACCCTAAACCCTCAACCATAATTTTTTCTGCATAACTTTAAGGAGTTCGGCATGCAATGGCCCCGTCCCGTGTGTCGGGGGGAGGCCTGGCCCTTGCCAGGGCGCCTTCGAGAAGGTCCAAGGCCTGCTCTCAAGGCGCTCGCATGCGACGGCTGTGCCAGGCTTCCACACTGCGCGCATCTACGACCACAGCAGCCGCACGCCTACTCAAACTGGGTGAGCGACGGGCACTGCATCTGAACGACATCGCGGGGATTGCGAAGGATAGGATTAAGAAAAACTCGATCATCGCTATCTGTAAGCTGCAAGAGAGCACTCGCTGCCTTCTGCTCGGCACTGGCAGTGTGGAGGAAACAGGCAATGTCCAACTTCCACTCCTGACCCAGTGAGACGGGCTCTCAGGCACAAAAATCTCTGAATGAATTCAGTGGAACGGACACATCTTTCTCCGACTTTCCTTGCGCTGTCAACCTGGCCTCGCACAGTTGCAACTACCGGAAGCATGAAATCTCCAAGGACAGTGCCCCGTTTGATCCCTTCATGCCAAGACGGCACGGCAGGCTGTAACTTAGGGCGGTGGTCTTGTCACAGAATCAGGCTTTCAGAAGCAGCCAACTCGTAGCCAGCATCGAATGGGCATCTTTGGCCAGCAGTATTGTGACACTCAAAGCATGGACCGTCAAAGGGTGATGCAACTGCAGCCTTCAAATCTCTCACCCTCGTCACCACGTGCATGCAAAGGGCCACACGTGCAGCCAGCTAGACTAAGCCCGCATCGCAGGGCCAGGAGGGGTTGGGATGTATGCAAAACAGATGCACTTTGCTGACGTACTGCCTGGATGAAACTATCGGCAACCCCTCCGCCAGACTTGGCCTCTAATCGAAGTTGCACACATGAGTATGCCTTCTGACTACATCACTTCGCAGCAGACCGCAGATTCTACAGCCGCCTTCTCGCGAAAGCCGACGAGTTTGGCGGCCAAGTCCCTAAGCTGAGCCCCCTGACTCGTGCTACTAATCCATTCCTCTGGAATTGCGACTTCTGTACCAATGGATCCATAGCATGCACCTGCAAGTGTAGCTCGGCTGGCAGTGCAACCTCCAGTTTGGATGCTGACCTCCACGGCCTGTTTGTAGTCAGGTTCCAGTGCACAGTGGAGGGGCAAAACCATTGACTGAGGCAAAGATCAGGCAAGACCAGCGAAGGGGAATCCAGCAGATTCAGGCTTCAGCTTCATGCCCACCTCTGAGTGCGGCATTCCGGAAAATTCGCCCACAACCCGGGCAAGGTTTGCTGCCACTTCGTCATCCAGGTTGGTTTTGAAGGCACGGTCTGGATTTGCCAGATCCGCCTGGGCTGCTGAGATTGCCTCGCTGACAGTCGGAGTTCCAAGAACCAACTTCTCAAGGACGCGCGCAAATCCACAGGCGAACGCCGAGGCTTTGTCGGTGTTCTGCGTGACTCGGACGGCGGTGTCCACACAAGGCAGCAAGGCCGGTTCACCGGCCAAGAGAGCGACAAGAGGGGCAACTTTGCAACAGCCATCCACCTGGCCAAGCCAAACCGTTGCGGAGTATCATTGCGCCACTTTTTTTGGGGGGGTGTCAGGGAGGAGATGTTCATCATATTTAAGATGCGTTTCCGAATGCTAGCTTTCGTCAGTTTTTCAAGGGATGGCATGTCTAATGTCCTCTGGCCTGTTCATCGTTGGAACCGCAGTCTGGGGACTTCTTCTTTTCGACGACGTAGTTCTTGAGGAAGCCTTTGACGGAGCCGTGGCGCCACGGCCCAGGCAGCGGCATGCTCCACTTCCTTTCAGCCTCGATCACATTGCCATCTGCGTCTGTTGGGTTCTTTTTGAGCTCTGGCCAATTCTCCTGATCCACAGCCTCCACCTCATAGGCACTCCCTTTGCCAAACTTGCCTTCCAGGCGAGAGCAGTAGTCCTCCACATCCAACTTCCCCTCGCAAGCAACCAAGGACTCAAGCAGCGCCATGGTCTGATCTCCGTAGCAGCTGAAGCCACCGGGTGGGGGTGTGTAGAAGACATTGCCTGGAGGATCGCAGAAGGCCGGACCGCGCTTTGCCGCTTTGAGGTGCTCTGCGAGCTTGCTGGGGTCATAGCACCAGTGGCATGGGACGGCGGCTGCATCGGCCACCAAGCACCCGACCACGGCCCCCCTGGCCCTTGAGGCCAGGCTGGCTGCGGCCATGGGAAGATGGCGAAAAAAGGGATCTTGCAGGTCCTCTGTACCTTGCTCGCAGTCGTCTTGAACCATCGAGCAAGTACAGCTTGGCCCTTTATGCCTGACACAGCCAAGACCCATTGCTTCAAATTCATAACCTTGCATACATCTTCAACTCCAAGCAATCAGCAGCAAAGCTGCAGCCGTTCCCAACACACGCGGGTCCTTCCAGGACGCCTGCAGCTATGTAGCTAAGGTTTCGACTTCGGATTTGCATTGCAGTCTGTACTTGTTTGGGTCGTTGGGGTGGGTGACATCTGATACTCGCGCGAAAAAGCCTGCACTCGCTCATGGAACCTTCCTTTTAAGCTAAGAGAGGGCGCCGAACCGAGCAACACTGTCCTTACGGACCCAACTCTCCGGGCTTGGCTGACCTGGTTCAAGTCGAGGCCGCAGCGCTTGAGAGATGCAGGGCCTGCAAAGATGGAAAATCCCTTCTGCGCTTGACAAGTCTCATGGGTTCTCATGCTGCTCATAGTTCTCATCAAAGGAAGATGACTTTGCCCGACGGGGCACTGCGAGTAATTATGAGTCGGCTGCTGTGGTGCAACTGAGAACGGAAGGAAGTTGGTCAACGCAAACTAGAAGAAAACAAGCTGTTGGCCGCCACGAAACGCATGCCCGACAGCTACTGAGCAGAGATCTGGAGTATATCCAACAACCCGGAAGCCATAAAGCCTAAATCCGAGACCCGACTCCACTGGACCTTTAAAACTTGGACCCTACACCCCTAAACCTCAAACCCTCGGAGCCTTGCTCAAAAGACCAAAGGCGCGCAAAGGCCAAGGCGTCAGAAAGGCCAGGGCCAGGAACTGCAACAGAGAAGGGCCCATAATTCTGTATGGTTGTTGCTGCCATTGTCAGATGATCGTGAAATACTACCAACAATACTGATGGTGATAATGATGATGATGACAACGATAACAATAAGAGTAGTAGTAGATAGTAGATAGTAGATAGTAGATAGTAGATAGTAGATAGTAGATAGTAGATAGTAGATAGTAGATAGTAGATAGCAGATAGTAGTAGTAGTACTAGTAGTAGTAGTAGTAGTAGCAGTAGC